ACTATAACATAGTGAAAATCTTATTAATTCTTAAACTTTATTACATTATTATCTTAAATTTATATATACAAATAGAGAAAAACCGGTCAATTGCGAGTCGAACTCGTACGCCAAGGGTTCCGTACCTATTGTACAAACATAGTAAAATTGGTAAATAATCACCACCAATTTTCTCAGGAACAGGTGCAGGAACAGGAACCTAGCAAGTTGAATACCAGATACTGAGGTCTATAGTCCCTATTAGGTGTATAACAAACAAGGTTCTGGGTCAACAGCACACACGGACAGACTGACTGACAAGAGAGTGATCTTTTAAGGGTTCCTTTTTTAACTTTTAAGGTAAGGCCCTAAAAACAGTTTTGATACGTGTTAAAATAGATACGTAGTGCCTCAACAGCCCTGCAAGCATTCCCGCACGATCCAATTGCTGGTTCATGTAAACGCAGATGCTCCATCGATCGGTAAGTTTAATTTTTTTATGGGAAAAGGGGGAACCGGGCAGGAGGCTCACCTGATGGAAAGTAATCACTGCCGCCCATGAACATCTGGAACATTGGAGGGCTAGTAAAATATAGGTATATGTTGTCACTAAGTCAATAATTGCCTATGCCGTGTAAGTTCATTGGGTTTAAAATACGCAACAAAAACAACATTACAAAAATGCAACATTAAAAATATTTAAATTTTTTTTATTTAACCTCATTCCACACTCAAAGTTGTACATAGGCGGACTAAATATTGATGAAGGTTTGCTAGAGGAAAACGTAATTAACTAAGCTAATTTGCCTTTTACAAGACCTCAAACGCGTTTGAAGACAAAGTAACTCTGCTCACGATGGAAAATTAATAATTTAACACGGCTCCTAATTGGAAATCCCACATGGCACAAATAAAACAAGTAAGGTTTCATACAGGCTGCGGAAATTAGAGGATAACTTAATTATAATTACCTCTTTTTAATTATAATGTACTGTGAGCAAAAAGTATGATTTAAAACTGTCAAAAATGCATCGAAGACATTGGTTTAATATTTTCTTAATACTATTTGTACTTTTTTTTTTACTTTTCATTGTCCCCTCTACTTATCCGTATATAAAGAAATTAAAATAATCAAAGTTATAGATGTTTTGACTATAAAATTGAAAATCAGTTCACATGAACTTAATAAGCTAATTACTATTCGCTGGAGCTATAAGAGCAGAATTTACGAACACATTTTGGCAACCATTAGACAAGCTTACAATTGCGAAATTCCATACGTTATCTAACACGTACGTGCGGTAGATGATATTGGAAACGATATCGAAACATTGCGTATTTAAGCTATTGTTTTTGTTTAGTGTATCGATTTAAGTGGCTCGAAATTTTATACTTAATATTACTCACGTTAAAAAAAATCTACAGGATGTATTACTTTACGTAAAATAGTCGTGTTCATCTTTTATCATTCACATCTTATATCATTATCTTATTTCACATATTCCATTCCAGAGTATGGTTTATTAATCAATTTCCAAAACATAACACAGCATCTCTTTGTTGTATCATAGCTTTAGAGCTTTCTACTCATTTTTTCACTCATACTTGCACACAAAACACATTTTTAATTTGGAATAACCGATTATTCTCATAATTAATCTAATTAAAAATATACGGAGTTACATAGACAATGTTTGACGTTGATATTATTGAATCGACAGTAAATAGATAACCATACTATATTGGTTATCGTTTGAACGAGTCACAGCAGCCTTGCAGCGTTATCTAACTGGAACGGTCGAGCGCCGAATTCGCAATGTCCCTATCAACAACGACTTTAACGGTAAAACCGGCTACGTAAACGGGGAATCGTCGAAATAGGAGAAATTATTGCAAAATAACAATATTCAACAATTTCTAAAATACACTGCAGATCGACTTTAAAGGGAAAAGAAAAAAAAGTGGCAAATTGTAAACAAAGCGGTAGGGTGCGGCATTCTTCATTGTTGCACGAATGTGCAGACAAACAAACCAGCAGTCATATCGGCGATGTTGAGTGGAAATGCAGCATGCAGGGTCTCCTCGTTTTAGTGGCAACAGAAATACATCATCTGTGAAAATTTCAACTGTCTAACTATCATGGGATACAGCCTGGTGACAGACAGACAGACAGCGGATTCTCAGTAATAGGATCGGGTTTTACCCTTTTGGTACGGAAGGAGCTAAGAAAAATAAAAGCAAGTGTTTTATAGAACAAAAATTATGTACTCATCTTCTCTTAAGCTATGTTGAGCGCGAAACAAAATACTATAAACTCTAGTACCTCATTTAAGTGTCACGACTACATAAATGGTGTAACGTTGCGCCTTTATTAAGTTTTATAACGCCATTACCGAGTGTTACGGCATGGTACTTATTTCAAAGACAATGTTCTCACAACTGGAGTGAAATAGCAAATAATGATTATCATTACATTAAACAAAGTAACATGTTTACATTTGCAACTAAAAACGTGTATTTCCGTTTTAGCTCAACTATTTTAACTACAATTTACAAACTAATCTACTTCAGTAGGTTTGCATACAAAGACGCATACATAGGTTAGATTACTTTGAGGTTACTTTGAGAGCACGCTGTCGTCAATTTCGTAGTACATATACATCATCAATCCAATCAATAATTGAAACTTAGATTCCGACTGAGTGTGGCTTTTTTAATGTGAGAAGGTGGTAAGTGAGCTTTCGTTTCACCTGATGTTAAGTGATAACCGCTGCCAATGGACATTCGCAACACCAGCATGGTTGCAGATTCGTTGCTACCATTTAATAAAGTAGACTACGGTTACCTTGCAAAACTTAAAGAAGTCCACTGGTATATAATATATATACTTATAATTTATATATATCTGGTATATAATGGTATATATAAAATATAATACAGGTCATGGTACTTCCTTGGAAGGGTCAACCCATTCGTGTAACAGCTGGCAAAAGTGGGAACACTCTGTGAATAAAACTCTTTCCCGACAGTTGTCGGGAATGAGTTTTATCGTCGTTATATGCCGATTTGGAATGGGAAGTTTCCCAAGCGCACACAGTTTCCATTCAGCAGATTGCTTCGTGATGACTGTACGAGTAAGTCTCAGAGACAAACTCTAAAGGCGGTTGGTGTTGACTTAAGATCTAACAATTTTTCGCAGGCAATATGAGGCAAACCCATGAAAGTGATATAATATGTTAAAGGCATATTTGTATGAATATCTGTCTTTATGTGTAAACGTTATGCCTTGAGCCTATTCTAGGCAGACGTAGTCGCGGGCAGCAGCTAATAAAAATAAAATACTGCGATTCACATTCACATCAATGTGGAGGTTGCACATTTTTTCTTTTACCACTATCTTTCACCCGATGACTCCGTGCCGCCTTTGGTATTGGCTTCAGCACCGAGGGGTTCGATTCAAGACAAGTATTTGTGTGGCCCATAGAGAGTTGATCCGGATAAAGACTTATTAATTGCTTGTATAAAATTGCGTTCTGTTGATTGACCTATAAATGTATTTTCTGGATGTATTTCTGGATATGACCTATTGACCTACAAATGTATTTTCAGCAGCTACGATGTTTGATCCCAAGCCTTTAAATGTTCTTATTGCGTATTTCGTCAATTTTTCAGATAACGTTAAACGTTTTGTAATAATATTTGTAATAATACGTTAATAATCATTTCAGGACATAGTTTTATTTACACAACGTTATCTAACCCCGAAGCAAAGCTTGTACTGTGGGTACTAGGAACTGATAAACATACTTAAACATTCTTTTCTTTTGTAAATAAATGAAAATTAATGAAATATAAGCACCCATACACTAGAAAAACAATATGTTCATCACACAATGTTTTTCTAGTAGTAGGAATCGAACCCACCCCCTCTGGCGCAAGAGACAAGTTCACTATCCACTACGCAAAAGGGTCGTCATTGAAATACTTTTACGATGTATGAAAACAACTACTAAAGTTCAAAACAAATTTTAAAAAATTAGGCACTTTCTGCCCGAAATAAACGAAAGAAAAAAGGGAGATTTACGCAAAAATACTTTTATACTAGCCGTCTGTCTCTTCCTTACTAAGTATCAGGCCATGAAAGCTTAAGTTGTATTTCTTTGCCACCTATCATGATAAGGATCTTGTTTGTTTAGTACAGCGATATAAGAAAAAAAAAACCTATTGCATAAATGATGTTCAGAACTCATTAATAAATGCATTAATGGAGAATAAAACTATTAAAAAGTCATAGGTCTAACATTTAATTATTAGTTAAGAATTTTACATCTAGTAAATCGAGGATTTACACGATTGAATGATACAAAAAGAAATGTTAAACAATCAGTCTTTTCGAAGATAAACGTTACATTTAACAATGTCACTACTTCATTTAATCGTAAAAGCTTTAATTGTAATTATTTCTTGTCAAAAATAGCCTTTACTTTAGTGGTAAAAATGTGTAAGTACAAAATTCGGGACCAAGTTTAGAACCAAAAAATGTGATATTAAAAGCGTATTAGAGTAAAATATTCGGAACAACAGATAAACTATTTCAATATTTACATTGTTTCTGTAACAGGCAAACTTATATCAATATTTTATGGCTGTAGGTTTTCTATTTATCAAATTTAAAAGTGATATGATAATGGAATATTCGAGTTAGCAAAAAAGATTTTACAACATAAACTACATTTTTTGCAATAATAATAATATTAATAATATTTCATTTTTATGTTGCAATAAAAAAAAGTAACTAAAATAATTTATTAATATCACAACCATTTAAAAAATAGTTTAATTTTAGTAACATTGAAAAATCCATTAAAAAGGATTTGAACATTTTCAGTAAATTAAAATAGTATACATAGGAGTACATTATAATAGTAAAACCAATACCAATAATATAATTAATTAGAACAATGAACACAATTATAATAATAATCGTTTTACGCAACTCAAACGCGTGAAGTCTTCAGCTACCTATGGTGTGGTATCCTGCAAGTTTCTGGAAGAAAACAAGGATGCTCAATTAAGTTGAACTATGTAATCTGTGTGCGGGTCACTTAATTCGGATTAGACTCCTCAGCGGTAATACAACTTCCTCGCATAAGGTAATCGTGAAGTGGAGGTCATTTACTTTTGCAACTGTACAGGTATTGTAGATGACTCGGTGGCGGTGGTTAAGCTATTGGCTTCGGCGTCGGGGGTCGTGGATTCGATTCCCGCACGGGACGACATTGGTGTGCCCCACAGCATAGTTGTTCAGGATCTGGGTGTTTCTTTCCCAAGGAGGGTTGATGTCAGGCAGGTGGCCGGTCGTAAAAAAACAGCCATAACCGCTTACAACATGATTCACATGTTGTGCCGATCCCATCTAGGTGGGATAGTGGCAGGAGGATGATGATGATGGTGACGATTATAGTTATGGTAGGTCCATTAGCGGCTATAATCACTTTACATCAAGTACAACGGTAACAACCTTGGAAACTAAATTGGAAAAACCACATTATTAAAATAAAAAACTTAACGCTCATGATTAGGATTAACTATTATATACCCAAAGTTTGTCCAAAAAAGACTCTTTTCCATGATGGTCTAAAATGATGTCCGTAACTATAATAAATTAAAGAATAAGATCCACTGTTACACCTCTGCAGATTCATTTGCGGTCTTATTGTATGAAATATCATTAATATTTCACGTTCCCACTTCGTTTTTTTTTATTTCGCTTTCTTCTTCAATAAGTATTTTGAACAGATTATAACCGATAAATATAAGTTATAACAGTTTTCAACACATTCCTACCTAATATTGATACCTAATTTTGACCTATCATGATTGTCCTGAACATTAAACTGACAGGTATTTTCAATTCAATAGGAGCATAATTTTTCATTTAAACCAAACTGCTCTTTGAACGTACAAAGTTTAGTTAATAAACATAAATTGTAATCAACATACTTCTTGGAACGCTTTTCAACGTAGTAGTTCGCGAAACGCCATCGCTCTCTTCGGACTCCGATCTCATTTGGAAGCTCGTCTCTGTAAATAAACAACATAGTGAAAAAATGTCAAAGATTAAAATATAAAATAAAACATTACAAATTGACCTCAGTTTAGTATGTGCCTTTTTTAATTTCACATAGCTTTTTAGGAAAGAAGGAATTTTATGCCCCATGAGGCGAAAAAACTCATTTAAATGCTTCATCAATTTCCTTATCAGAGATTTCTACAAGCAGAGCTATCCAATTCCCAGTAAGACGACGAAAGTATAGAACATAGTGGCCAACACTTCGCTTATTTAAACGTTCCAATAGGAATTTTTTTTGATTTTATTCTTAAACGGTAATCGGTAGGTAATTTAATTCCTACCGAAGTTTTAAGTTTTAAGTTCGGTAATTTAAAAGTAAAAATTATAGAGATTTGAAGCCATCAAATCAGGTGCTGTAGTAATCAGCTAACTCGGTAAACTTGTATTTTAAAACCAACTTACCACTATCGTATCTAGATTTACTATTGCCTGGAATGTGGATTCTACTAGGTATCTCTTGGTTATCGACATGTCCAAACGTGCGGAACCCAATCGCAAACTGAGCATATGGGCTGATTTCGTACAGCTCTGTAACAAGATTACAGATTAAAAAATTATCGAAGGTAGTTTAGCTTAGATTAATGATAGATTTTCCAAGATCATTATTTACTATTTTGGACGGGATCTTATAGAATTGATTGCATTAGTCAAGTACTATTGACAACAAACCGTGTTTATTATCTGCTGACAGATGCACCGGGGTACTGTATACTCTGTTGTTAACTTCGCTGGGTACACTTTGGGGTGTATTGGCAGTTACATTACTTCTTTCTGATTTGCACTCTGCCGTCAGTGAGTTGCGATACTCGGTCAATCGGTGGTGACTGAAAATGAAAACAAACGTACTCATATACCAGAAAAATAATTAAATGTTCTTAAAAAGGCCAAATATTTTAATTGGCAGTCGTGAAACTGCGTATTTTTTTATAACTAAATTAATAGTTCTCTTTTAAAATTTAGACTTAATTTAGTTTCAATAATTGAATCGCTAATTGACTTAAAATAGCAACTTTGCGAAGTCATACATATATGAATATTTTCTGTATATTCCCCAGTAAGTATATTTATCTCAGCGAATAGTGCTGAAACTATCTAATAAACTAGTAGACAGTAAAGAAGATGATACAAATGTATGTAAAATAGAGAGATTGTTATAATACAGATTGTTATAATATATATTTTCGAAATTATTGATACGGTTTAGATCCGTAATTTCTGCCTACACCTGCATAACCGTATCATGCTTATTGTACTTACTTATGCCTTTTCACCAAAATGTACACACATGCCAGCGAGCACAACATCAGCAGGATAGAACTGCAAATGATTACCAGCATGTTGAGGTCGATAAAGTCAGAAGGGGGACCGATCAATTCTGAAAAGTTATTTATTTATTATTTATACATATATTAGAACTTTGGACAGTTGTGATATTAAAGTTTTTGATGACATTTAGTTACTTGTACATGTTTGATTAAAATTTATTAAGTAAAATAAAGTATCAGCCTATACATGTCCCACTGCTGGGCAAAGGCCTCGGCCCCACTGAGGATTGGTGGACTTCACATATCTTCGAAATATTTTTTTTTTTTTGTAATTATTTCGAAAATATTCAGGTTTCCTCACGATGTTTTCCTTCACCGCTGAGCACGTGATAATTCAGCACTTAAAATTGACAATTTCATTGGTGCCGGCACCGGGGATCGAACTCAGGTTGCTCGAGTATATTGAATTAAAGGCGAACACCCGGACGCTGAGCTATCACGGCTCTTTTATTAAAATGTCCTTTTATACTTAAAAAAATGTAAAATAGTATCAATCCTCACCTCCTAACACTGTAGTCGTGGCGTAAGTGTAGAGCGATGTAGAAATGCCGGCTGCATTCTCTGCAACGATTCGAATCTGATACCACTGTGCGGGTAGAAGTTCCGCTATGACGAAAGTGTTCGGCTGGTTTAATATAGACGAAGCGATGTAATGGTTCCATGTCTGATCCAACTGGGGCTAAAATATTAAAATTGTCGTTTAAAAAATAATTAAGAACTCTGTTAGTTAATTTAGACTTGATTTAGCTCTTCTAAACGTTAAAACCATTCTAAAGTTGCCTAATTCGAACCAGTTTGAAGACAAATTAGCAAGACTACCTATTAAAACATAGTGCAGAGCAATATTCATTTATGTAGTAATGCTTAATGCACAATATAATATGTTGTTACTTAAAAAAAATGGTAAGTGAGCTGACGGCACACCTGATGTTAAGTGATAATCGCTGTCCATGAATTTGTAACACCCAGGATTGACAATGCGTTGCCAGATTTTAATAAAGTGATCCCGGTTACCTCACACACCAGACGAAACACTGAAGTATAACTTTTCACTTTCATTTTACGCCGGTCTTCTGTGAGGTCGTATATATATACGAAAAGTATAAGTAAATACTTATATACTTCCCCGAACGAACCCGTCCCTCCTTACAACAGACTGTTGCGTCTAATAACAGTATTTTTGGTTCGATTCTCTGAAATTGGCTTAGTTGGTTGTACAAGCATATACGACTATTCAAACCTACAAGTATTAATTTAGATCCAAACATCGAATTACATTGATATCATAATTATTACCAATCTGTTTTCAGCTTTCCTCCATAATTTGCTGCCGTACTCTTTATAATCGATGTCCCATTTTGTAATTTCGCAACCGTTGTCGTCCCATCCACTGAGTTGAATATAAATGTGACTAGCATTACTCCAAAACCATTCGGTTGTTGTCGGTGCAATGGGTACTGAAAATAAAAATAAGACCACACTGATTTGAAGTTAAATGCACTATTTACGTAATATTATAAAAGTCTTGTATCTTGTATTAACTGATGTTTTTGCTTTCAATCCCGAGACTATTAAAGCTTCATCTGACGCAGAACCGGTGGGCTAGTCAGAACCCACGGGTTTGGGCCCTCCGCTGTGGGTAGGGCCACTCATGCGTGCGTTTAACTATATATGTCATCTAAGAGCCATCGAGGTTGCGGTTCGGACCGGGACCCCAATGGCCGGCGACTGTGTTTTTAGCTAATCGGTGCCTGGGGCGGTTAGAACCGCCCTGGAACGCGGGAATATTATAAAAGCCTTAGGCCATTGGAAGTTACAGAATTAACAGTATCATTGAAAAAAAAAAAACTATTGAAAAATTGAATCATTTGGCACAATTAGGAAAAATTTTTACAAACTTTTACGATTACGAATAAAGTATAATATGACAGTTCAATAATAATATTTCTTTGATAAAAGCGCCATCTAGCCTCTAACCGGTTATTCACTTTGAATACGTGTAAAGCACCATCACAATCACTTATGCACTAGATGATACTGTAACACATTTTGTTACTTTTAGTTTACAGTTAAGTTTTTCTTATTGATATTCAGTTCAAAATTAATAAATTTATACCGTTTTCGAATGGCATGAATCATTAAGTTACTTCAGTTCAGTTTCCAAACGTGCATAAATCATTATATACCTTTATCCTATGTAATATGGTGACACATTTACCAGTTACTTTCGTTTAAAATTTAGTCTTTGGATGAAGGAAAAAAAAACTTTCATCGAGCATCCAACTCTCACTCAAGCCGCTGGCAGATTCGAGCTGGTATTATTAGATAGTGTTGGACGAAAGCTGTATTTTCAACAATTAATTTATGAATTTCGTTCACTTCCCGCGTAATGTTTCAGTGGGTTTTTAATAAATTACGGTAAACGACCGGTTTCTGAAACACATAGTCGTAGAAATTAACTTATCAGTTAAACCCTCTGAATTGATCAGAATTATCTTCTTAATGATCAGAATGATCATTTCAAATACTTTAACCATCCCTTTGACAACTCAAATGACATTAGAGTAGCAATTTGACAGCTGATTACGTCGATTACAGCATCTACGATGATCGCTGTTTCAGAAATCGGGCGTCATTATTTAACACATTTAAATAGGCACATCATTACAAAGCTTCACTTATGTAAACGTACCTCCTCCTAATGTTGTGGCATCCAGATATGAGGGTTGCGAGGAACCAACACTGTTAGTTGCAGTCATCCTTAAGGAATACTTTGTTCCGCATTTCAACCCTTGCAACGTAAAGTCGTACACGTCGCGTAGCGATGTCCCTTTGTTAGACCAAGAGTCCTGCCATGATACGTTTGCCTCCTTCCATGTCAGATTATAACCTAGAATTCCGATATGTTTTAAGAAAATAATTGGAAATTATTAGTAGTAAAATAAGAGAGGCTATTATATTTTTAGGACGCATTTTTCCTCAACGTTCTGCAGTCCCAAACTAAGCAATTCTTGTACTATGCGTACTATATTAAACATACTTTTCTTTTGAAAATTAATACATATTATACACATATAAACACCCAGAAAGAATGATCATGACACAATATTTTTCCAGTAGTGGGGATCGAACCAACACCCTCGAAGGGTGTAGTAGGAAAGTATACTACCCATTACGCTATTCGGGTCGTCAATATACAGGCTTCGGAGGTCGTGGGTTCGATTCCCACACGGGTCAAGTATTTGCGTGATCTACAGATAATAGTTTCGGATCTGGGTGTTTGTTTCCCAAGGTAGGTTAAAAAAAAACTAGCCAATGACATTAACAATATGCTTCACATGTTGCGAACCAACCTAGATGGGATAGGGATAGGAGAAAAAGAATTTATTAAATTTATTTTATATAGTCTTAAACTAAAACTGTTTTGTAGACGAAAGCTTTATATCCGAATTTTATAATCATATGTGATTCTGTGCCTGTCTGAATGTCGAATACTATTAATATAAGCTCTTACCAATTTTCTGCGTTTTCCCATTCAATTTTCTCGGCGCATCCCACTGTAGGTGTAGAGCATTTTTATGGGGTGTGACTCTCAAGCTTGGCGGTTCGGGTGTTGGCAACACTGACACTTCGTAAGATACCGAATCGGAACCGTAGAGATTTTTAGCCAAGCACGTGTAGTTGCCGCTCAACGATTGGTCGATATCTGTAACATTACGTGTCGACTGCATTTAACAAATATTCACCATATAAAAACTTACATCGGTGTTTTTTTAGCGAAATTTAATAAACTTCATTAAGTTAATTCATCTAAGATACACTTAAAAGTTCTACTTAATAATTTTATCTTTACCATACTGCATTGTTATTACTTTTGACCGTTTAATCCCAAAAAGTATAATCATATAACGTTCTTTTCGTTGTTTGCGTTTATTAATGCACTGCTATACCTAATTCCCACCTAAAAATTTTGTTACACTTGACAATATAATTGACAATACAATCACATACCGAGTACTGGGAAAAAGTAAAAATTACTTATATATTAAAGATATCTACATAGATTGGTAACATAATACAACGGTGGCTTGTAACTGGTAAATAACATTATAACTGTACAATAAACTCTTGGTTACTACGCTAATAATATAATGATATTTTTAAATGGCCGAACTCACTTCCATTTGCTGTTTGTAACTACTAGTTTCGGACCTATTAAAGGTCCTTCATTATGTTTATTGGGATGAGTTCACAATCGCACCCCGTCTCGCATTGGCTACTGGTATGATATATTGGCAAACTGAATACTTTTTACATATATCAATAAGACGTGACTTAATTATTTCTATACTAATGTCTCACGAAAGTTTTGATATTTCTATTCAGTCCACTAGAAAAAACAAGTGAAGGTGCTCGCCCATAAAGCGTTCCGTACCATTAACTATAAAAACGGCAATCATGGCTGACAATCACGTATGAATGGGAGCCGCACTTAACTATTTTTTTATTGTTTTTGGTATTTATTGTTATAGCAGCAAAAGAGATATATTGTCTGTGAAAATTACAACTGCCTAACTATCACGGTTCACGAGACACATGAGTACAGCCGGGACGGACAGACAGACAGATAGACAGACAGCGGAGTCTTAGTAACCCGTTTTACCCTTTGGGTGCGGAACCCTAATAAAAACACACAAGCTTACTGTTAATGAGCAGGCTGTCGTCGTGGTTCCTCGTGAATCGCGGATGGTGAGTGATGATGTTCTGGTTATGGTACCATACGGTGCGCGGTGGTGGTGATCCCACACACGAGCACGCCAGCAGCAGAGAGCTACCTACCCCCACGGACACCGGCCCACCGAGAGAGGACACTCCCGCCACAACTGCACCAAAAGCATGCTTATGTTATAGCGAACATAATGATAAAAGACTTGGGTCAATCTTTAAAAGGTACATTTACGTTCTTTAGAATGCATTCATAGCCCCCTGATGTTTTATTAAAAAGTCATAAGCTCAGGTTATGTATTACATTGTTGTGAAGTGAAAGTAACCTTTCGCGTTTCGTCTGGTGTCTAAAGTAGCCGGGGCCCACATTTTCAAAGGTTAACAATGCATCAGCAAACCATCTGGTGTTGCAGATGTCCATTGATGTTGGCATTCATCTAACATCAGGTGAACCGCCTGCTCGCTTGACAAGGTTACACATAAACGTCCATTTTTATTAACAAAAAAAAAATTATTGCAAATATCTCGCTCTATATTCATTTTATTATTGATCTTTAGGCGTTCCCTAAGTATCTCCGGAGCCCAAGATCCGATACCAATGAAATTATTATGGGACCAGCTTTCCAGAAGAAGCTTTCCAGCAGAAAAAAGAATCCTCAAAATCGTTTCATTCAGTCGAAAGTTCTGAGGTAACAAATATAAAAAAAATACAGTCGAATTAACAACCTCTTCCTTTTTTTTTGAAGTCGGTTACAAATATGAATTTAATGTCAACATTGACCGTTTTGACATTTAACTGTTAACTTGTAACTGTTATTAACTGTTTTGAGCTTTATTGATTTTTTTATGAAATTTTACTAACCTTTTGAAGATAGTTCTGCGTGGACTCTATTACTGGGGGAGCCCTCGCCGGCTGGAGTGTGTGCCCTCACGAATACTTCGTATTGTCTGCCCGTCGACAATCCCGTCATGGGGAATGTGAACTGACGGGAGAGGTTCGACTCCTGGGTGGCATCCACCCGAAAGTTTTGGGGCGCACCCGTGCTGGAATATCATCGAAATTATTTTTTAACTTTCTTTTGTTTCTACATATTATATGCAATAGATTTCTTATTCTGACTGGGTCATCGGTATTGTATAATCTTTTAGTTACATCCGTAGATGTAGTTATTTTCGGTTCATTAATTTTGTGACGGCGTCAATCCCCATCCTCAGAACAAAGTAATACTCACACCTAGATCTCCCTCATTATTTTCTTAGGTGTCTAAACATAAATTCTTGGACGCATAAAAAGAGCTTTAAATCTTGATTATTTATGTAAATTTTGTATTACATTTATTTATTTATATATGTGTGAAGTTAAGAGTCTTGGCATTATTTTCGGATTACCTTGAAACAGGTTTGACGTAGACCGTGTAATGGGTTATTTCTCCATTGGGCTGATCAGGTTTCTTCCAGCTGGCAAGAAGTGAGGTCGCTGACGAGACCAGCAGTTTAATTGCAGACGGTGGTCCGGGAACTAAATTCAGATTATTGGTTATTTTAGCTGTATTTACATAAAAACTGATGCATATATAATTTAAATTCATCATAATCATTCAATAATACGTTCTTAATCATTTTTTTATAATATTGTAATTAAAACGGTTGTTACGGAGATGTACTAAATGATTTATATATTTTTTATTTTGAGGCAATGATTGTATACCACGACGTGTGTATAACACGTTTATTTTCAATCGCGACATAAGTGCAAACCAATTTAAAATATTAACGACCATATTTAATATTTTATTGGTTTTATGACTGTAAAACAAACTTATTACCATCTTGCAGCGTTGTGCAGATAACAGGATAAGAGAATGGTCCCACACCGTAGCTGGAAAAACCGGCTACTTTGATGGTGTAGTTTGTGTATTTCAGGAGCCCCTGGAGGTAGAGCTCCGAATGTGGTGAGGTCAAATTAAGCCATGGTCCGTCTGAAACGTGATGAATATTTTAATTGACTATGTATGAAGAAAAAATCGATTTCATAGCCAGCCTGAAGACATATTTTTAAGAATAACTAAACATAGAATTCAACCTTGTTATTGAAGCTTGTTTTAATTACTTGTTTAGTTATTCAGCTGATTCAAATATTCCACTCTTCCTCTCATGATTTTAAAGAAACCAACACACGTTGTAAGAACACGAAAGAGCCTTTCGATCAAACTCACTCAACGGATTTAGTTTTGTTTCTGAGTTTTTTTCACAGGAATTGGGAAGTGATGAAAAATGTTGTAAGTTTATGTTTAATATATAAATATAATTATTTCAGGACACACTTTTACATAACGTTTTCTAGTCCCAAACTAAGCAATATTTTGGGACTATAAAACTTTGTGTAAACGCTTGTACTATGGGTACTAAATAACTGATAAAAATTCTTAAACAAAGTTTTCTTTTCTAAATAAATACATATTATAAATGTATAAACACCCAGACACTGGAAAAACACTACGTTCATCACACAATATTTTTCCAGTGGCGCGGATCGAACCCTAACCCTCTGACGTAAGAGGCAGAGTCACTACCCACTACGCCGATGTGGTACTTATAAATTAATATTACCTTCAGTACTGTAATGTATGGTGTATCCGAGCAAAGAAGTTCCTTGTGATGAGATCGATTGCCAAGCAATACGTAACGAGGAAGATGAAACGCCGCGACATTCAACGGAGGCGGGTGGATGCTCAGGAGCTGAAATTATATAGGATTTATAGAATAAAAGTCTATATAGACTTCTTGATTTAAGGTGAATATTATACAAATGAAATGAAAGTAGTTTACGGATGTTATTGCCTTTTTATTTTAATTTTGTAATTCCTGACGTTTCGACCCTTTCCAAAGTTCATGGTCACGAGACAGACTGACATATAAAATCTGTAAACTATTTTCATTGAAATGAATAAAAGTCTATTTTATTTAACAATGTAATTGATCGTGCTAATTAAAATAAAATGGGACTAGACAAAAACAACTATCAATAATTCTTTATAAATATCTGATGAAACAACAACAACTCATAGCCCAGTATCTTTTACGAATGAATTTTATTTAAGGGTTATCCATCAACGTTTTTTAACGAAAAGTACTTGCCAGATCACAATAAAAGAATATGAAATAAAAACTTTAATAGTTTCTGCTATAACTTAGGTCAATCTCAAAAATAATTACTAAACTGACAAGACTAAATGATTAACGATGACGAAATGACTAAACCTAAACTTCAAGTTAACTTCAGTGAACTTCCTTCAATGAACTTAGTCTGTAACCTGCGGTGTGAGTTATAAAACTATCGTGTATATTTCTATCATCCATTTACATTTATCCACTAGTTTATTTTACACGATCTGTCATTTATTTTAATTCAAAGAAAGATCATTGCAGGTAACAGTAAAGATATCATAAACTGTACAGAAGTTACTCATGCAAAGACGTCCTATCGGTAATTACCTCCCTCTCTAGTTGTTTGATAGACCGCCAAAGAGTAAGGTCCAGCTCCAGCGGAGTTGAACGCGCTCACCGAAACAGCATATCTGCAAACGAGTAAAATGAAATAATACATGAATATTTAAGAAGTCACTGAGGATATGTAAAATCTGTCTACCAGTACTTTTCTTGGCATAAAAACGTTAATGCTTGGTTACTATGTAAGTAAAAAAGTAAAGAAAAGTAACAGCTGTATGTCCCACTGCTGGACGATGGCTTCCTCGATAGCGAGGGTATTAGGACATAGTCCACCACACAACCCCACTGCGGATCCACCAATCCGCAGTGGGGTTGTGTGGTGATTCGCAGATCTTCTAAATATTTTTTTTGTTGTTATTTCGGAAATGATAATTCGGCACTTAAAATTAACAATTTCATAGATGACGGCACCGGAGACTGAACTCAGGTTGCTCCAGTAAATTAAAAGCGAGCGGAAAGTGAGCTATCACGGCTTTACTATATGAGTATTTAACTAAAATTAAGAGTGATCAGTGAAATTGTAACAATGAAGTAAATAATTACGCTTCACATTAGGAAACAAACAAATTACAGATTTTTTGGCCCAGTATGGCTCATAAAATCTTGCTTTGTTGACATTTAAATCAGCAATTAATGTTACGTTATAATTACATGTTGCAATTTACCTTGTATTTTTTAACAATCCGCTCAAAATCGTTTCCTGTTTCCCATTTCTTGGGGTCACCTTCACCATTTTTGTATGCGTATCGTTCGGCCCTTAAAAAAGGAGAAACAAATCTTAAGTGGCGGAAAACGTTGGCACGATTTGGGAAAATATTTTGTGTCAGGAATATTCAAAGATTATGATGAGAACTAGATTCGAAGGCAAACGGTGTAATGCGATTAAAGTAACGGGATGTGTCCGTTTTATATTTAATTTGTAAAAATTATTTTCACCAATTGAAAAATGTACAGTAAAACCTTAACATTTTTTAATTGGAGAGAATAAATTTAAGCATTCATACTATATTTATTTATAATAAGATAGATAATTGTTTTTTTATGTCACAAAGTGCTGGCGAGACTGGCAAACGAGCTGGCGGTTCACCTGATGTTAAGTGATAACCGCCGCCCATAGACATTTGTAACACGCGTAGAGTTACAGATGCGTTGCAACCTTTCAACAAAGATGCCCCGGCCACCTCACTCACCAGACGAAACGCAACACTTCTACTTCACGCCGGTCTTCTGTGAGGTCGTGGTACTAACCCGGACGGACCCGCCAGTTCTGTGTTGCGTGGCCCTACCCCGGTTATAATTTGTTTGTTTCAGTAATGAAAATAAAATAGAGTGACTATAAAATTGAAATTTACCTGAATCACCAGCTGTTCTTGGAACAGCTTTCACGTGATATCCTTGGAGGGGTCCGTTATGCGTGTCTCTGGGTGGGGCAATCCACGATACAATCAGCTCCCCCGGGTTGTCAGTCGACTGCACTTGTACGCTTATTGGACTGGTCGATGGAGCTGAAATTATTTAAATTCGTTCATCGTTTCATTCGCAGATGACGTGTAACTTACATCCTCACGGTCTTACGCTTAGCCTATTAATTTTTGATCGGTTCTAAACTTCCAGATTGATTCGACAAGCAGTCTTTTAGTATACTATCGGAAAAATGTTCAGACGTAAATACCTCACAGAAATGAGGGCTAAACATTTTTAAGCTGAGCTTCATATCTCGTGCTTGACTATTAAGCCTGGGAAATCGGATCGAATTCAGTTCCTCATTAAGCCCAGATTCGCAACCACACCCCCAGATTCAGAATGTGATATCGAATCCCATCCATTTTTGCCTCCAATATTTTTGCAACTTTAAAAATAAGGTGTGACCAAAAAGTTATCTTACGAAGCTTTATAATTACTTTGGAAGGATATAATAATATTTTTTAGTTTTACATAAATACACCAACCTTTTTGCATTGTAGTGAAGTGTACTGGCTGCGTGAATGGACTAACGTCCACTTGGTTTCCTGATGCTATTCGAACCCTATAATCCACAGCGGGTTGCAAATCACGAAGTTCAATACTTTGCCTTATGTCATTTTCTTGTCTGAAAATTCCAAACACGCATTAATTACCTATAATTGTTCTACGTTTGAATTATGGCGTATCTCTTATGTTGATAAAAAAAGGTCATATTTTGTCATAAAAAAATCATTTCAATCTTTTTCCTTTTAAGCAAGAGAGACTACTTTTCACGCATTTCTTATGAGGTTCTCGTATGATATTTTTTTATGGTAGGACATTTATTCGTATCTTATTACAATTTTCAGTATTTAATAAAAAGTAACGAAAATTTGCCCCAATTAAGGAATCACCATCTAATTGTGCTTCAGATAACAATTTTAATATTTTAGGTTACGTTATGTCCCATAGCTGGTGCATTTTACACATTATGATTATGTGTATTATGATTATCACGGTCCGAGTAAAAACCACGACCTCACAGAAGGCCGGCGTAAAGTGGAAGTATAATACTTTCGCGTTTCGTCCGGTGAATGTGGTAGCCGGAGCCCAATTTTCTATAGGTTGTCAACGCATCTGGAACACTCGGGAGTAGCTGTGAACCGTCTGCTCGCTTAACTTTTCACTTAAAAAAATGTAATTATGCATTAAAAAAGTGCACTGAATGTACTAGAGACATATCATCACAAAAAGGCGACAGATGAAGGATACTCTATGAATTTTACGCCCTTTTCCACGCGGAAGGGCAACAGCTAGTGATAAATAAAATTACCTTGTGATGTTGATACTTTTTCCGGAGTCCCACAGCATGTAGGCGTTAGTTGCATATTGAATAGTGTAATATTGGACATGCGTACTGATTGTGTCTCTCCACGACAGTTTTACAGAATCACTCGACACCGAATCCACTTGTAGGTCCATAGGTGGCGTTGGAGGTTCTACGAATAACAGCAAAATTTCAAAAGTCTTTTAATTTCTCTTCTACAACACATTCAGATTGTATCATTTGTGTTTATCAACTTTTATATTGTAGTAGATTAGTCCACGTGTCAAAAATGTCAACTATTTAACATTTGTAAGAATAATTTGTACGAATCATCAAATATTTAAATTAATAAATTAGTTTTGTATATGGTAATCATTTTTTATACCTAAAATATCCAGGTGAATTAAATATGTTGCCACGCCGTAGGGATTACTCGCCCTGCACTCATACGATCCACCATCTCGGCTTTCGACGTAATTAATGCTAATAGTACTTTTAATGCCGTTAGGGTTTACACTTTCCGATACGGTGACCCTAGAAAAAAAAAATCCTAGACAATTAAAAATATATACATTACACATACTCGCAAAAACTTAGTGTATGAAAGCGCCATCTGTTGAATGTTAGCTGCTCTTAATACCTAGAAAGCAGCTACAAAAAGTTTAAAGAAAAAAAGTTTCTAATAGATGTCATAAATCCCTATTGAATTAAAAAAATATATTTATTTGATGTTTCGCGAAATAGCGCGTTTTTGTCATACATATTATATGTTTATTACTTTCGGCATTTATACTATATCCAGTTTTAGTAATTTCAAATTGGCTTTCAAAACATAAAACTTTTCCTGAAACGAAATTGGTCCAGTATTTAAATTGTGCCGGGAAATCTCCAGTTTTTTTTAAATGTTAAAGGGGATGTCTTGGCCAATCTTTAAGTGATCGCAGGTTTAATAAGTTAGTTGCTATCGAGATACATTTTTATAGTATAAAATAAATGTTACCTGGAAGTCGTAAAATCCACCGGTTTCCCGTCAACTGTCCACTTAACTCTGATAGGGTTGTCACCAAGCGGACGGCAGGGTAACGTTACGGGCAACCCTAATTTAGTCGTCAGGTTGGTGCCCACGGATTCAAAATGCACCGGCTCTAGAAATAACTTAGTGTTGGTTACATACCAAATTAACATGAATGTGAACATTATAACAATTTAAAGGATTTTAAATTTCATTTTTAAAAGAAGAACAACATTTTAAGAATGAACTTAATGAGAATTTACGCAGTATAAACAACTCTACAGTACATAATTATAATACCATTCGAGAAAGCATGCAAGGGGAATGGAAAACTATTTATGAAAAACTATGGAAAACTAAACTAATGGAAAACTATTTTACCTTGTCAAACATTAAGCCCTTCGATATGTAAACTGACTCATGAAAAAAAATATAAAACTCTAAATACTTCATGCCGGGCTTCTGTAAATATACCCCGCATTGTACATTCGGCGTAAGTACCCGTGAAAAACCAGAAATCTTTTCGTGGCCGTTAGCAAAGTGAATCATTACTTTAAAAACTTACTATTAACGCTTATCCACAAATTCTTATTGAGCGCTTCCCCTACGCCATTTTCCACGTTGCATGCATAAACTCCTTCGTCGGATAGCGACACCACTTCAATGACTAATGTGCCGTTGGGGTAACTGATGACCCCGCCACCAGCGAGGTCCAGCACAGGCCTCCATATTCCGAGAGTCGCTGGAAATCGTACGCACGTGTAAATAAAATCTAATCTGTTTAGATCTAGCTTTTATCGCCGAGGATTTTTATATTCCGAAAACAAAATTTAAGTATTACGAACTTCATTTTAAATTTGATTCACAATTCCTGTAATTTCCCATGTTAACATTTTCCTTCATAGTGGCATATCTGAAAAAATTACTTGTACATTCATCATAAAAATATAGCCGTGATATCTTAGTGCTTAGGCGCCTTTAATTTAATATGCTCGAGCAAACTAAGTTCAAAACCTGGTGCCCGACCAATGAAATTTTAAGTGCTGACTTATTACGTGCTCAGAGGTGAAAGAAAACATCGTGAGGAAACTTGGGCGTAATTAATATAGTCAATATGTTTAAACTGTTACTTTACTTTACTTAAAAGCAATTGTATGGCATGCACTTAACATGGGAACATAGCTAGTTAAAGGCCACCGATTATAGATCAGCGTAAGGTTTGGGTTTCATGGTGTACAAATGTTAATATCAAGTTATTTTAATGTCCAATCATTACCGTCTCTCTTCATCCAATGTATTTGTGGAGTTGGGTATCCATTTGCATTGCAGTAAATCACTCCACGCTGTCCTAATAGTAAAGAGGTGTTTGTTGGTTCTTCAACCCATTTCGGTGCAACTGAAAATTAAAAAATGTGTCATAAAATATGATTTCTAAAAAAAAACTTTCAGAATATATTATTTTTATAGTGATTTTTGTTGTGACTTATACACAAATCTAATTTTTATAAAGAAATAAATCTTCATATTTTTACGCACTTTTATAAGAGTGGCCAAATGTAAATGTCAGATTTGTTCTGAATTTGGCGAAGGTACCTGATAATACGAAGGATGTAACAATTCTACAGTGACCTATGATAATAATATAACACAGTTTATTGATCCATTACAAAAAATTGTTAATATAAATGTGATGAAACAATTTAAAATTAGCGAAATGTATACAATGAACTCACCGTTAATATAAAGATCTGCCGTTTGATTCACTTTCCCTACGTGATTTGTTGCAATGCACGTGTATTTCCCACAATGTTCCAATGCAACTCTTTTTATGATCAAAACGCTGAAAAGTTCCGAACTCCGCTCGTTTATCTGAAACGTGACCATGAATTATTTTACATGTCAAATACGCTTTAGTCCGAACGTTTAATAATCACATGTAAACCGAAATTTAACTCATGCATGTTGTAAAGTTTCGAGGGCAGGGAAATCTGACAGAGGTCCCTATAACCTAACTCGCTTCGAGTTGACAAACAATATAAATTCAGATTAAATTTACTGATACTTTCCTCACTGTGTTCAGAATGTCTCTTTTAAACTAATTAGTACTCGAGCATAATGAAATGGAAATGCATTGAAGTGAATTAAACCCAGTCTTAATCTTATTTTAAAGTAGATACTGAATTTCCTGGAGCTCATGTAATTTCATGTCAAGATAAGGATGTTAACGTATATTTTCGAGGACCCAGAAATGAAATTTAACATTAATTGCCTCCTATTTCTCAATATAATGGCCTTATATTGGAGAGTCTGTTTACTTTTAAACCATATTTTTTCCAAAATATGTGAGAGTTTTTTTAATTTTTGCCCATGGACTTATTATCTATTCAGGCTTAAAATATGGAACATTCCCTCATATTAGGACATTTGGATTTGTTTAAAATATCAATTACTTTTAAACTGGCTGGAATCTTCATGCCGTCTTTGAGCCAGGAGAAGAAAATTGGTGGATCTCCACTGATAATGTTGCACGTAATCTGTACTATCTGACCCTCTTTCAATCCTGTACCGACCCGAAGCTCGTCTAATGCAGGCGCTTCAACCACCTGAATCTCAAATGATCTGGAAATTAATAACGAGACAAAAAGGTTAAAAATATTTTTAATTAATGCTATTGACATATTCTTTCAATCAATCAACATCGGGTAGAAGAGCTGAGTTAAATGCGTAGACATACATGCTAACTGTGGTAGGGCCACGCAAGTGTTCGCTATTGAATGGGCAGGTCCGTCCGAGTAAGTATCACGACCTCACAGAAGACCGCCGTGAAGTAGTGCACTTCTGCGTTTCATCTGGTGAGTGAGGTAGTCGGGGCCCACTTTATTAAAAGGCAAAGCTTCTGCAACTCTACAGGTGTCGCAAATGTCCATGGGCGGTGAACCACCAGCTAATTGGCCAGTTTGTAACATAAAAAAAATTAAAAATACATATAGGCTGTTTTTTAAGGATTACATTATAAATTCAGATACTAGTACTATATCATGAACTTTTATTTTGAAAATACTGTACGCTACGCTATAATATAATATTTCCAAATGTATTGTCAATGTGCAGCGGTTATCACTTAACACCAGGTGAACCGGCAGCTCGTTTGCCACCCTCTGACATAGAAAAAAATATCAAAATGCACATAGCATAATTATGTGCATATATAATTATTATTCAATGTGATATTTTTGATACTTCATTATTATTTTTTATTTAAAAGAAAGAAAGAAAGAAAGAAATTTATTTTTTATTTTAAAATACTTAAAAAACGTTCCACTTTTCAAAATATAGCAATATCAAACGCCTTTCGACATCTGATTCATACTTCTTCCTTTATAGAAATATAATACGCGTATATACCTTTCAGTTAAAAGTTAATCCTTTTAACTCAAGTTACTTTAATCATCGCTTAAGATAGTGACTAGAGTAATGATCCAACGATCTCCGAATAGCTCAATCTATTTCTCAAGGGTAGTTAAGCAAGTAGAACGAATTTGAATTTAATGTAAGAAATCCAATCACACAAGTAAACAAGCCAAATATTGTAGTAAATTGTCATTTAAAATATGAAAATAGTAATCGGAAAGCCAGAGATTTCTCAAGTAAACTATATTCTTCATCGTAACGGTCACATTAAAATACTAAATATATTACCGATGGTAAGACACTGGGATGACATATTATCTCGTGACCATTGTAATTACCAGATAGATAAAATTATAACTAAAGAGGAAGTATCATACTTTTGCGTTTCGTCTGGTGTGTGAGGTGGCCGGAGGCCAATTTTCAAAAGGTTGTCAACGCATCTGCAACCCTCGGGTATAGCAGATATCCATGGGCGGCGGTATTCACTTAACATCAGGTGAACCGTCTGCTCGCTTGGCAACTTTTCACATAAAAAAATGATAACGCAAGATCAAATCCATACTAGCTTAACACACAGCTTCTGATTTATTCCATTTTTCCACTGGGTTCTTTTTCAGAGCCGTTATTTGCAACTCGTGCGATAAGCAGGTGACAAACACACAAACTTTTCATTTATAACAATAGTATCTAAGTGATTCCTACTTGCTACTCACCTTCTGGCCATTTCACCTGAGGGACTGTACACAATGCAGGTGTAAGTTTCCCCGTTCTGCTCCTTGAGTACCCTTGGTAAATGCAACACGCCATCTTCCACCGGCTCGAACAGTTGTCGTTTCTTTCTCTTCTTTCGGGCCTTCGTTCGACCTTTCGCGGCCAAGGGTGACCGCTTGTAACGCGAATGCTGGGGCAGCATCGAGTTGACAATTTTCTTCCCTTTGTGTTCCCATTCAAGTTTACTGAAATCATATTGGCGAAATACGCTTCATGAAAAGTGTTACTGGCTTAAATCCTCTTTCCGAGAAGCTTTTAAACCACCGTGCTAACAGGGAATGTAACTAACAGCGTTTTACATTAAACAAATAATAGAGACTCGCATTACTTTGTCTATAGTCGTTTTTTTCTCGTTTACTTTTCATGTTATTTGAAATAAAATGTTTATTTTATAACAAAAAATGTTAATAATTTAAGTGGGACTCCCAAAGGGTTTTCGCAAAGAAAGTCATCATGGTGAAAATTTTTTTATATCTGATTATGACAAGTTTTAGTCTATTTTCTAATCATATTGTTATGCAGCTACTTTTATGTTCCTAATCTATGGAAGGGAAAACAAAGGAAAACTTTACCTTATAGGATAACCGTAGTAAGGGCAGCGTAATTTCAGCGGTTGCCCACTTTGCACTTTGATGGGCGGCAAGGTTCTAATATACGGAGGACCTATAAAAACAGAATGTTACTTCACGTTCACATAAGAGGCTTTATTGGACTTAACCTACGAGACTATTCTTTCGAAAAAGAAGTTTTATTCACTGCTAACACTTACTACATATTGTGTTTACATCTTATTTATTTTTTATTTCATTCCAATCATATTATTAAATCATCAAACTGTATTACTATAATTACCCATCTTCATCCATGCGCGCATATAATTATTATAAAAAGTAACATACCTAATAAGTTATAGTCAAAGTCAAATAATCTGTATTCAATATAGGCTTAAATTAAGCTCTTATTGAATGTCAATAAAATATCTACCACCATATCAAACCAATAAATATTTTCATTTCTCAAAGTACACATAAGTAATTTAATATTTCATTATGTTTCCAGATAGACGCCAAAGGTATGGCGGTAAAGGGCTGACTGGGAATTTTTTCCCGAATGGAAAACTATTTAAAGACCGAGGCGTGTTAAAAATTCGTACCAAAAACGTCCACCCGAGCCACGTGACTTGTACTGGTATCACCCTCATAGGCTACGCAAGAGTATAGCCCCCCATCTTCCACCCGAGCCCTGGATATATTAAAATGGGAGATCACACCAACACCCGTCGCTGACATCATTTGCCCAAGTATGTATCTGAAAATGAATTATGAAAGAATTAATAAATATTTTTGTGATGAAAGATTAACAACCACGCAAAAAAAAAACATTTTGTGAGCGTTTGACTACTATAATACCGCCATTGAACTAAAACTCACATTGTCTGCGTTTACGACAGCTTCATTTGAAATTTTTAATTCATTTATAAACGTCATAATTTTTTTTTATGCGAAAAAAAAACGACAGACGGGTACTTATGTTAAGTGAATACCTTCCGTCAGAAAAATCTGAGTTACTCCCGAGTCGCGCCTAAAGAAGTTTTACTTCAAAAACATTTTCAACAAATATTTGACTACTAGAATAATCAGCCATCAAACTAATAATCCATTGTCGCTGGTCAGACAGTAGGTAAAACGTGGTATTAATATGTATAAATTTATGTGTTAACAGCCATAGACTGCTGCGTGGCCCTACCACCCTACTTGTAACACTCGCGTTGGAAGTCGACCGTTAGATTTTAAGTATATTGGCTTATAAGTGGTAAACGACGCATTCAAATTTGTACATTCGCACTGACTTCCAACCTTAACGGACTCGCATTCGAATACAAACCTAATTATTTTCAGTTGAAGTTATATTAATATAACACCTTCAGAAGCGTTATTTCTTCTTCCTTGTTCTATCCTAAGCAACATAATACTTGTAAGTATAATACGAGAAGTATGTTGAATGATCAGATTGCATGCTGATTTGAATCGTCATGAACGTCGTCATCAACTTCAAAATAATGTTTCATAAAAATTTATATTTATTGAATGCGTATAAAGTTGAAGCACGGTTAACGTTTTGTTGAACAAAGCCATTAAAGCGTTTGATCGAACAATAATTGTTCGAGCTACATATTTCGAGTGCTATAAGTTTTCATCGAATAGTTATCGAATGAAGTCAACCATACGTATAGTTATAGTATAATATAGTTTGTATGCTGGAAAAGATATAACAATAGATGCGCCAAGCATTGCTTCAAATGCTAAATAACAATGTAGATAAACGACGTTAAGATTTTCGTCGGTGTGGCAATCAGCCGTTTAGCTTAGTGACTAAAGTGTCAGGCCGTGGCTTCGATTCACACAGCGGCGACAATCTTTTCGTACTTTTTCTACAAGTTTTAATGTTTAATCTTAAGTGCAAAGATTAGCACTATAAAAAACTTTAAATAATATAGTAAGTATAGTAACTATATAATATAGTAAGTAGTGGTATTGTGATAATGCTCATTTTCAGGCCCAATCAAGCCTCGTGGACATCGTCCAGCAGGAGGCTTTTTACCACAATGATAATGAACATGATCATCTGAAAGATCTTATTTCTTTATGTGAAAAGTTGCCAAGCGAGGAGGCGATTAAGTGAAAATCTCTACCCATGGACAACTACGGCACCTGACGGGTTGCAGATATACAGCCAACCATTCAAAATGATTTGTCGCTGAACGTTATTGTTCTTTCTTATGTTACCTTGAGTCTGTATTTGATGATATAACGACTCCGTCCCTCTCCCAAATAAAACGAGGTGGCTTGTCTGACGTAGCGGTACATTCTAAACTGATCTGAAATTATTTAAATTTTATTTTGCGTTATAACAACATAATTTATTTCATGTTTACTGAAATATTTAAATTTACATTATAAAAATCTATTAATTTATGGAAGAAACTTATTCCGAGGCGGAAAATATGACCTTTATTGTCACAATAGGATTCATTGTTTTCCTAATATGATTTGGTTACAAATTGTGATAATATATATGTATTTAAGTACATGTACAGGTTTTATATTCGCGTGCATGTAAGAAATTTCAATATATTGTAACAGTACATCACAATTAATGGACAGTATATCATAACCTAATGGAAAAATTTAATTAAAAAAATGTTACATTTAACAATAAATGATACTATTTTATTTTCTTAAGCGAAAAGGTCACAAGCGAGCTGACTGTTTACCTCATTTTACACGATTACCGCCGCCAATGGACATTTACAACACCTGAGGACCTGCAGGCTTTTACAACCTTTCAAACAAGTGATACCTTACTCACTCGACAAACGTGAAGTTATAATACTTCCACTTCACTGGTATTTCCCCGTACGTGTCCATTCGTACAACAGCAGAAGTTCTGCATGGACCTACTGCAGTTTCCATTAAATATAAATATTATTTAGTTAATGATATTTGTACACATTTTTGTACTCACGTCTTCGCCGGTTGTCACAATCTTATCCGTGAAGTGATGCGTAATGATGATATTGGAAGATCCCAATTCACGTCTATATCTTGAGTTATTCCCATCTAAAACATTAAAACTGTTTATTCAATGCAAATGAACATACGTATATATGAACCTGATACCCTCTGTATAGAGGAGGCCTTTGCCCAGCAGTGGGCCATGAATAGGCTGTTACTTTACTTTACTTTACTATTAGTGCTTAGTATTTTTGGTAAAGGTAAATAACTTTAACTCCGGCGTAATTCAAATCAAATAAATTTTAAACGATAGAGAAAAATCACTTATGAATTTATCAACAAACAGAATTCGGCGGTCGCTTATAGTTTTCGAAAAAATAAATAATGAAATAGTGTGATTTTTTTACTATAGAAATCCGCCATTTTTTTGTTGTCAATATGTCAATTCAGCTCGTATTTCTTGGTGGTCATAAAAAAAAAGACCTAACATCGAAGGTTAAGGCGGGAGCTCCGCTCCCGCCTGAACCTTATAACCTAATCTATCGGAATCGGATTCGCTCTGTGTCGGTTCTGTGACTCATTAAATTAAAAAAAATCGGAATATAGATACGTATATGATATCGCCCGCTTCCTATATTTATCATGTTGGCAGAACTGTGTATTGAGTTTTTGAAGTCAAACAAATAAAATGGTGGATTTCTTAGTACAAAAAACAAGTTTTAAATATTT